AGAGAGAAATCCAAAAAAAGGAAAGAATTTTGGTGAACAATGAAGATCCATGACACTGGTTTAGACATAGGTAACCTTTAAATATACATCTTGAGTGAGCCACCTTTGTGTAATAAATATTGAGATAGATGCCAAGTTCAACCCAGGTCTTTAGAGAAACATAGATGATCACACTGGCATCTTAAAAGGAAAGGTACCAGAGAAAGAAGGCAAGGCCTTTTTATCTTTCTCCTAGCATTATTTTCTATTAGACACAGTCATTGGCATCAAACATTAATAAATTCAAGTTTCCCATAGAATTCCTTTTAATCTTGGAAGAATATATTAGCATAGTATTTTACAACTTTCAAAGCATTACCAGTCATGTTTGATTTAATTTTTGAAACCGGCATATATACAGAAGACAATCTGTTGAGATCACCCCCATTTTGAGTAAATTATGGCTAAATGACTTACAGATCTAGTAAGACATGGGCAGAGAACCCACTGATTAGACCCTTACAACCAGTCACTTATATTTGTCTGCTTTTATTTATTTATTTATCTATTTATTTAAATCACTGGGACTACAGACTCAAAGATAAACAGCATGTGGCCTCTGGCCTCAAGGAGCTCACAGATTCAGCAAGAAGGGACAATGAAAGTCCACACCACAAAAAGTGTAGCAGGAGGGCTGTCTTCCAAAAGAGGCCATTTCTTAATCTGGGCAGCAAAAACTAGGCCTAGAAGGGAGTGAGGGGTAGAGAGAAGGACAAGCAGAGGTCATCTTAGTTGCTCAGATAGTAAAGTGAGTGTGAGTCCTGGCAGAAACAGAGTCATGAAGTCAGCAGTAGCCGCCTTGGCATGACCCTGTGGACCAAGCTAAGGACAGCCAAGGTGCACGGATTTAGATATATGCTAATCACCAAAAAGCTTTCTGGAGCTGATATCACCTCATATATAACAAAGCGCGCTGATGATAAAATTAATGTCATTTCATATGGTCAAATCGGGAAGGAAAAATGATTCAAGGCCTGGGTCTGAGTGAGTAGATTGTTTTCTGCAGCCTGTGTATGTGTGTACACTTTTCACACACCCACATGGATCGTTTATAGTCATAATACTATACACATATCACTTCCATATGGATTATACAAAACCCACACTTGAAGCTCTGTGACCCTCACATGCAATAAGGCTTGGAAGAATCTGTATGCCTAGCTTGGTCCCTTAGGACATGTTCAAGTGCAGATGGGTTACAGAGAGAGGTGACACCCCCACATAACAATCATCTGTCCCTCAGTCAGTCATTTCTCTACAAAAAGGAATTGACAGTGGTTGGACAAGATGACCTCCGAAGATACTGACAAATCCCATGGTTTCACATAGTAGGAGCTTCCACACTTACATTCCATGGCCCTAGTGAAATTATTTCTCTGCCATTTTTTTTATGTTCAGAGTAGAAAATTTATTACTGATTTCTGATTCAGACATCATGTGACTTAGCTAAAAGAGTATAGGGTCAGGAAACTGAGATCCTCTCCCAAACTGTTCTTTTCCTCCTCAGTCTCTCTTCCCATCTCTTCCTCTTCCCCCCTATTCTCTGTCTCTGTCTCTCTCTGTCTCTGTCTCTCTCTCTCTCTCTCTCTCTCTCTCTCTCTCTCACACACACACACACACACACAGACACACATACACACACATGCTGTGTGACCTTGAGTAATACATTTCAGCTCTCAGGGCTTCGACTTGCCAGGTATTAAATGAAAGGAGTGGAAAAGTGTTCTGCAATTTCCTCCAAGCTCTAAATCTATGAAATCATTCCCCTCCCCCAAGACTTAGTTGCTATTCAAAGCTCTGAAAAATCTGGACCAATACAAGTAGATTCAGATCTTTTGTAACCAAAGAAGATCTGGGTTTTAGTTCACTTCGGTAAACCTACAAATCTTGCATAATTTAAACGACTGTCACTGGTTGCTCTGGTTTAAATTATGCATTGTTGCTATCTGGGGAAAATTTAGACAGGGTCCAGTTTGGGATCACTGGCTGAGAACAATAAGCCCCCAAAGTGAGAAGAATAAAGGCTTCTCCAGACAGGATCGCCTTTTAATGCACTGAGCACAGGGTCGACAAAAAGAGCATTGATTGTGTACATTAAAGAGCCACCGAAACAGCAAGGGATTGGTAAAACTGCAGCAAATTCTCCTAGAAGCCACTGACCTTGGCTGCATTTCAGGGGTCAGGCATTCCCCAGGAGGCTCTCAGCAGGCAGGTTTTCCGAAAGGCTTGGGACAGATGAGACCTCTCATCAGTAAGGTCCTTCCTCTCCCAATTTGGGGACACCGAGACCGAGACCGAGACCGAGATGATCTGCCATGGGATTTGTGAAGTAACCTCGAAGGCCTTGTATCTCACACATCAGCAGCCAACAGACAAGTGGCAGACCCCACGGAGAGGGGGGATGCCATTATATCCGAATCTACCTTTAAGACCTGAGAGCAGCAATAACCTAGCCCTTGTTTTCCGGGCCTACCTTGTGGCCCTTACACACTACATTACACACCTCCCGAAGGCCAAAATACAAAGTCCAGCCCATGAAAAGCCATTTCTCTGGATAGTACCGAGATACCTTTGCAAAATTACTGATCTCTAGAGCACAGATCTCCCACATGTGAATCATACCCAAGGCATTCACCTTAACCTTTACACTTTCAAACCTGCAGACTCTGCTCTAGGTCTCTGAGAGAATTTTCCCCAAGGTGGAAAAAAAAAAGAAAAAAACCCAAGAGACACCGCTGACCAAGCCCAACTTCAGCCGGCATCAGCAGAGTAGAGCTACCAGGGGAGATTGGGACTCAGGGAAATCATCAGTCCATTGTTCAGGATCCTTACCCCGCCCCGTTGGCACTTCCCGCCACCCTGAAGTCGAGGCCATCTATCCACCTGATTAACCCTCCGGCAGCAACTCCCAGCGTTGAAAGTAGGACAAATGCACACAGTCTGTGAAGCAGGAAGCCACCGACTTGACCCGAGCACTCCCCCTCACCCCAGTCACCCACCCTCACCCCCCAGCTGCCCCCAGTGGGGCATTTCCGCACTGGGAAGAGACCTTTTGCTGGACTGATGTATGAATGAGCTTTTGCTGCCCAAGGAGCAGAAGAGCCTTTTGCATCTCTCTTTCTCAGCTAGCTCCCTGCCGGCCTCCTCCTCGCCTCGCAGAAACCTCACCTCTCAGATGGAGGGTCGAGAATCGGGGGAAAGGTCGTTGCAAGAGGAAGGCAGAGAGAGTGGATCGAGACAGGGAGAGAAAAAAGTACCACTTGGACCACAAGGGTGGCTCATTAAAAGCAGCTCGGGGAGGCAACGTCCGCAGAAGCACGGAAGGGAAACAGTAGCGAGATTGACCCTCAGCCTAACAATGTATCCGTTTCTCGGGAGGGCGTGTGAACTTCTAAGCTTTGCCATCCTGCGTGTCTCGAGTCTCCGTGGGCAGCGCCACGGGCAACTGGGGGTCCCTGACTCTCCAAGCCGCAAGTCCGCATAGTTGCTAGTCTTTTTTTTTATTCCTTCCCTTTGGGGAGGATGAGGTTCCGAGGTTGAAGCCTTTAGAAAACTGGGAGGTGTAGGGGGGCGGGGGCTGGCGATCCTTCTCCTACCGGGGTTGCCGCCCCCACACCCAAGCCCTCACTCATCCCCTTCCCGGCAGACCCCATCTCCTGAAATTGGCAAGAAAAGCTCTGCCCTCTTCCCCCAAGGAGTGTGAGTGTATGAGTGTGTGTGGGTGGGGGGGGGGGGGCGCGCGCTCCGGGGGTGGGGGCGGGGAGGCGTCGAGGCCGCACTGGGATTCCTGCTCTTCGGATCCGCAAAACAACAGCAAAATGGATCCTATATTAGTGATAGCTCAGTCAATACAATGAGACGACGGCGTCTGGGGCGATGCACGTGAAGGTAAACGCAAATCATGGGGGGGGGGGGGGGAGTGCTCTACAAAGGACCGGCCACAAACACAGGGGACACACACACACACACACGCACACACACGCACACGCACACACACACACACGCACACACACGCTCAATCCGGGGAGTTCCTCTCCGGCCAGGGAGGAACGGAACGCCTCCCTCCACCTGCTCAAGTTCAGCCAGAAACCCGAAATGTCACGGCCGCCAAGGCAGAACGCACTGGCGGGGGCCGAGTGCGACCCATAAATAAAGGTGAGTGGCAGGCTGGCATTTCAGGGAGCGTCGGGAGCGTGTCGGGGCGCTCGAGGCAGGGAAGGGGAGAGGGGGAGGGGAGGCCGTTGCCATCTGCAAGAGCAGCAAGAGCAGCAAGCAGGGCGAGGGGCGAGAGCGGGGCCCCTCGGAGCGGCAGGTCCGCGCCGCTGGAGGGGCCGCCGGGCTCACAATGTCATCTTGCAGGTAGCTGGAACCGTTGGGGTGGGGGGAGCCCGAGCATCTTTTCAACCGGGTGGTTCTTTCATTATCTGAGTATTTTTTTTATGTCTCTATCTATTTATTTTTGCAGAAAGGACAGTTGGGTCTCGCGCCTTGGCAGGAGACAACTGCCCAGGGTTTGTGTACACACAGAGACACGCGCGCGCGCGCTCCCGCGCACACACACACACAGACACACACACACGCGCGCACACACACAGCTCTTTCATTTTAATGCTCTTACATCGGGCTAAGATGAAACAGGCAGAAGCCCCACGCGCTCCCGTGGGAACCTGGGCGAGCAGCAAAGGAGGGCACGGACCGCGCAGTCCTGCCGGGGGGTGGGTGGGTGGGTGTTGGGGGGGGGCTTAACCAAGGGTCCCCCCGCCGGCAAGCCCCGAATCAAAGAAATCCAGGTCCTTGGCATCGCCGGATCGATCCCGCCTCTGCTCCCCAGCCCCCCAGCCTGAGCCCACACGCCGATTCCATCCACCTCCCCCACCCCATCCCACCCCACCCCCCACCCGGGACCCAAACCAGTTGGGGAAGGGGTGGGAGGGGGGATGAGAAAACAGGTCCGTGCTCACCCGCAGAGCCGAGAGGTCGATTTCATCCAGGCTGCGAGCCGGGGAGTCGCTCGCCATGTCGCCTCCTGGGCCGAAGACGGGGACCACAACCGCGCCGGCGGCTGCTCCCCCCCGGGAAATTCCACCTGGCTCTAGGTCGCCGGCGTCCTCATGCGGGTGCGCGGGGCCCGAGGCCCGGGCTCAGCGTCGCCCGCCCACCCGGGCCGCGCGGCGTCGGGTCCCGGGGCTCGGGCGATGGGGTCCGCGGGGTCCCCCCGAGCCGAGCGCGGCGTGCGCGGGTCTCTCGGCTCCCCGGCCGCGGCGCGTGTGGGCTGCGCGCCCCGCTTCGCCTAAGGGCGCAGGGGCTGCGTGGGTGGCTGGAAATGGGACATGCTTCGGCGCGGGTGCGTGGATGGCGGCTGCCTCGGCGGTTATAATGAGACACATCAACTCCTCCACTCCGCCGGGGGTGGGGGTGGAGGAGCACCCCGAACTGTCGATCAGCGCTTCCTGGGAGGAGTAACGGCGGGGGGCGGGGGGCCGGCGCGGAGGAGGCGTGGTCTGGGCCGGGGAGGGGCCGCGCGCGGCCCGACCCGCCGCCTCTGCACCAGCGTGCCAGGTGGGGGGGTCCCCCGCGCCCCCCAGTCCCCAGCTTCCTGCCCACGGACGCGCCCCGGAGCCGAAGCGCCTGGTCTTGCAACCCGGGCCGTGCCCATCGCTTTATCTTAGGCGTCCGGGGCTGCCGTGCAAACGGCTCTGGGGGGTCTCCTCCCGGGGGTTCTCGACAGGAGAAAAAAAAGAAAAATCAGATGCAGAGAAGGCGGCGGTGGGAAGTGGGAGCGAGCGGCGTCCTCCCGCCCCCTCGGATGCGGGAGGCCCGAGCAGCGCGCGCCGGTGCATATAAGGACTCGTGCAGGGCCCGGACCCGCCTCCAGCCGTGGGACGCGCGCCCAGAAGCGCGCCCGCACCGGGAGCCGAGCGCAGCGCAGCGCATCGCCGGGTGGGACCCGCCGGAGGTCCCCGGCGCCGGAGTGGATCTGGCCGTCACTCATCTATCTCGCCGATCACTCGGCGCCTGGGAGCGGGACAGGCGGGACCCGGGCGGGAAGGCCCGCAGATCGATCCAAGAACTCCCTGCTGGCGTCGCCACGCCCAGGACCTGCCGTGCCGCAGTTCCCCACGGAAAGGACCGAATTCCAAGAAGCTGGTGCTCTGGGTGCAAAAGAGAGAGCCCCGGGGGTTTTCAACCGGTCACCTTCTTGAAAGGCAGCACCCGCCGTCTCGGAGCCCAGCACCTATCTCCCTTTCGGGCAGCTCGCTGTGCTCTTGGGTGACCGACCCAGATGGATGGAAAGTTTGGCAGGCGGGTCAGATCTAGCACGCAAGATGCACAGGGGGATGGAGATTGCGCTCCACCCGTCATCTCCTTTGAATGCTGACCGTGATTGAGTTTTAAAAAAAAGGGAAAAAAATGACATTTCTCGAACAAAGAGTGTCAAGTCACTTTCCAAATCAACACCCCCAACCCGTCTTACAAGCCTATCTTCTCTGACCTTGGCCTCGAATACAACACCAAGTGAAAGAAGTCTTGGAACTTGCCCCCATCCAGCAGTGCTTTGAGTTATTTGCACCCAAACTAAGGGCATTTACTTATGATCAAGTGCACTGTCTTGTTTGTTTGTTTGTTTTAGTTCTAATTGTGTAGTGGGACAATGAGATACAGAGTAAGACTTAGAAATGAATGAATGAATGAATGAATGAAGAAAGCCAATGGAATTAGTTCATCTCCACTGCAGACATAAGAAGCACCCCCCCTTTAAGTTTTTCGGAGGTCCTGTGTTATTATTGTTAATATTGTTGTATCTATTTAGGTGCGTTGGGATTGTGAAACCAGAAGAGAGTTCCAACGTCTCAACGTTCACAACAGTTGTTTAGGAGTTTTTGCCAATAAAGCATCACACCTTCAAAAGTATTACATTCAAAATGCTGCATTAGACCTCTCATTTTCTACAAGTAATTTCAATCGATGTAGTAATGTGCAGTTATCGCAACATAAAAACCCCTCATTTCCCACCATCGAACGTATTTTTCCCTTAGTCTAATAGATAATGTATTGCATCAGTGTTGAAAGAAAACAATTTAAAATCAGAGATTTGGATCTAGGAAGGGAACTTTGTAAAACTCGATGTATGAAAAATAAAACCAATGGGTTGTTGTTTTGTTGTTGTTGTTGTTGTTGTTTTCACAATGAGCCTTCTATCTGTACCTTGGCTTTTATTACAAACATCATTTCTTTTGGCATTCATAATACGCTGTAATACTGGCATTAAATACTACCCCTGGGTTTAAAATTAGATTAGAAAGCCATATATTCAGACGGTGATGGCTGTTAAGTGGAAGAGGGCTTCCTCGGGGCCTAAGAGGATGATGGGAGGGGCTTGTGGAAAATGCTGCTGACTCCGTTACAGGACAGATTCCAAACAACCCAGACCCTTCTAGATGGTAGAGAAAAGAAACTCTAAGCAGAGTGACTGAAAAAGTGGTGGCGACTGGACTGAGGGGGAGCCCCGAGGGGAGATCAGGGAATCTCACCTGCTCCAGTAAGGAATATGAATTGGATGAATATGTATCAAATTTCAGTTATTTCAGCAGTTTGTGCAATGTTTTTCCATGTCAGTGTACTGCCCATATTATTATTATTTATTTAATATTTTTTAAATCACCATTTTTTCTTAAGTCATTATTTTTGTTTTGTTTTTCAGCCACAGACAGTGGTGCTCAGGGATTACTCCTGGCTCTGCATTCAGGGATTGACTCCTTGCAGGTTCAGGGGACCAGATGTGGTGCCAGGGATTGAACCCGTATTGGTCGTGTGCAAGGCACACTATTGCTTTAGCCCCTACATTAACCTTTAAAGAAAAAAAATCATGAGAAAAATGGAAGGCATAGCGCCAGAGACATGGTTCAGTGGGTAGGGTGCATACTGCTGGCAGGTTGGATACCCTGTCCAGTTTGTAGTAAGAGCTTAGGTACAGATAGAAGGCTCAATGAGACCTGCCAGGTCAGGAATGATCCTTGAGAACAGGACAGTGCCAGGAGTGAGCCATGAACAAAGCTGAATCTGCCCTGGGCCTTCCAACCCTAAACTCCAGAAAGATGAAAGTAAGAAAATGGAAAAGTGGCAACACTTGCTTAAAAATAGAAGGAAACCACTAAAAGAAATATAATAGAAAACAAAGTAGTATTATTAAATTCTAGCTAGCTATGTTGCTGCCTTGTGCTTCTAACTTGAGATAATGCTTTTGGTTTGGTAAGAGAAATTAGCATGTGCCATAAAATGACTTTATATCATTTATATGTGATTTGAGAATCTACAGAAAAATACAATGCATTGTTGATATCTTTGTAAATATGTAGTGAATTTCAAAAAGCATGGTCATATGAGACAGATCAATCTCAGTATAGTGAAAAAAGGAAGAAGAGAAATGGAAAGGGTAGGGGCAAAAGAGACTAACCAAGGATGTTTAATTACATTTCAAGCAAATAATGTTGCATGCTTGGAATGATTAGATCTGATTTTTTTTTAAATCACCATTTTTTCTTAAGTCATTATTTTAATGAGTATCATTAAGTTTCTCTCTATATCTTGCTGTATAGTTTAGAAATTTTTCCGGGGGGGGCGGGGGAAGGCGACCAGATGTAGTGGCTCTCAGGAGCTACGCCCTACATGGAGAGGAGCTTCCTATAGTGCTGGAGGACCATAAGGTGCCAGGGATTGAACTCTGGACACCTACATACATTCTAGCCTGTTGAACTGTCTCTATGACCCTGAAATAGTTTTTCTTTCTATCTTAAAATTATTTAGAGAAAGAGACTACCTCTCAAAGGATATTATATTATGTTGCTTAATGTTATTTAATGTGAAGATATGCACCAACTAAAATCACTGTGGAAATCAGTAGTTCAGCCTGTGGGACTCCTAAGAGACTACTCTGATACATCTATCACCACAAGTCCCTAGATATAAGAAAAAATTTAATTCACTGTGTTTCTAGAAGTCAAAAAGGAACAGCAATAGTTCAGCAATTTAAAAGATTTCCATAGCTTATATAAAGCAAGTAAATTGATTGTTACCAAACTTAGAGGCAATTGTAAGAAGCAGTAGGACATTTATGATGGTGAGTGACTAAGAAATAGCACTGATTAATCAGTATATATATATATATATATATATATATAGAGAGAGAGAGAGAGAGAGAGAGAGAGAGAGAGAAAGAGAGAGAATCATTATTCTGTGTGAGAGGCACAAGTAGGCCCTAGGGATTTGCCATCACAGAGGCACATGATATATTTGTTTATGAACAATTGACAGCCAAGGTCATTTGGATGATCGAAATTAATTTAAGAAAACTATTCAGGGTAATGAGATTAATTATGTACATGGGTGTATATACTACCTACTCTCTGTGAATATGTGAGTGCTTATACCAAAGATACAGGCTAAGGCCCCAAATACCTGCTCATAGATTACCAGAAAACAATGTACCATCCATATATCATGATCATGATCATCCTGTTGTTCATCAATTTCCTCAAACAGGCACCAGTAACGTCTCCTTCTTCCTAGCCCTGAGATTTTAAAAGAGCCATTTCAATGCTCTTTCAGGATTAAGAGAATGAGACCCATCATTGTTACTGGTATTTGGCATATTGAGTACGACACGGGAAGTTTGCCAGATTCTGCCATGTGGGCAGGATACTTTATATATATATATATATATATATATATATATATATATATATATATGTATACCACTGTAGCACTGTCCTCCTGTTGTTCATGGATTTGCTCAAGCGGGCACCAGCAACGTCTCCATTGTGAGACTTGTTGTTTTGGGCATATCGAATGCATCACGGGTAGCTTGCCAGGCTTTGCCGTGTGGGCGTGATACTCTCTGTAGCTTGCCCGGCTCTCCGAGAGAGGTGGAGGAGTCGAACTCGGGTCAGTCACGTGCAAGGCAAATGCCCCACCAGGTGTACTATCGCTTCGTCCCATCAGAATAGCAGATTAACTATGCATCTTTCATGGTAAATGCTAGGGGCCTG